GGCTTTTTGGACATCCAGAAGTTTACATCTTAATAATTCCTGCATTTGGGATCGTTTCCAGAATAATTTCTGGGATTTTACAGTCAATAATCTTTGCTAAGCAATCAATGATCTTTGCCATGTCATCTATTTCTCTTCTTGGAAGTCTTGTTTGGGGACATCATATGTATACTGTAGGTTTAGAAAGTGATGCAAGAGCTTCTTTTACAGGAGTTACAATCTCAATATCTTTACCAACTGGTAAAACAATATTTAACTGGCTTTTTACATATCTCTCCAATCCATCTTTGTTACACCTTAGAATTACTTCTGTCTTCTTCTTTCTTCGCTTTTTATTCATGTTTACTACAGGTGGGTCAACAGGAATAATTCTAGGAAATGCTGCAGTGGATCTAGGCTTACATGATACATATTGTGTTGTAGCACATTTTCATTTTGTTCTTTCTTTAGGAGCTAGAATTGCTATCTTCTCTGGAACAATCTTCAATGGAGAAAAGATGGTTGGTACTAAGAATTTATCACTTTCATCCTCATGTACACTCTCCCTTTATCATTGCAATTTAATATGTATTGCTGTTCTTCTTACCTCTTCCCCAATGCATTTCTTAGGATTTAATGTTATGCCAAGAAGAATCCAATCCTTTTCAGATCCTGTTCATGCCTGGAATTACCTGTCATCTATTGGATCAGGAAGAACTTTCCTACCTTTTTCTGTTCTTTTGTTTGTCTTCTTTCTCTTTCTTTATTCCTCTTTTCATTTTATTATACTTCTAGAAATCTTTGAAAAGAAATAGTTGACAGGTAGGGAGTAAAAGAAAAGCATCAATCATATATTTGTATCTTTCCATTTCTCTTCTATTTTCAAGTATTAAAATTGGTTGAGGACGTTTCCTTCCGTCGTTTCTGTCGTTTATCCTCATCCATAATAACCGACGGGAAAGGTCCTGAACTAACCTACAAACACAATCCAAATAACCACAATAAACGCAAATTAAAATAATAAAGATAAAGAAAGATGCAAACCTAAGGACTGTTAACGCCTGGTCTGGATAAGACTTGTCTTTTGAATAATCTTACCACTGCAGCTGGGACTAGATGTCATGGTCACTTTCCTTACACCTCCAAGCCTCTATTCTATGGCTTGGCCATATCTCTTTTGCCAATTATTTTCAAGAGTCTTATTTGGATGGCTTCTTTCGTTACCTTCAGAATCTAGAATGTGACTGCAAAGGTAAAAGCCAAGAGACAGAGATTTCCAATATTCTAAAGTTTACAATAAATAACATTTGAGATCTTATTACCTTACGGATCAATCCCCCCCCCCCCAGTATGTTTCTGAAGGGGCGTCCCTTTTTACCGTTCTTTGGGACCCCCAGATAAATAACTTGTGGGCTTAGTGATGAGGGGTCAACATGGGCTTATTAAGCCCAACGATGCGCATTCTGGCAAGTCAGGCCAAATGAGAACAGCAAGGTGAACCATTTGCAAGCTAATTATTGCAGGGTTCTCTTCATACTTCCATGTTTTACTCTGTTTTTTTTTAACATCGCCCGTTGGGCCCATGCAATTCAGCTTTCATGGTAGGTGGGTGTGTCGGAAGCTTCGGATTCAGAGCTTCACACGAGCGGGCGCCCAGCGGCAGGTCCTTGAGCTTGTGCGGTCGGCCCCTCCCTGGTCGAGAAATATGCATCGGGAAGTTGTTTTTTTGGGGTGGAAACCTTGGAAACAAGCGATTTTTAGGGAAGCTGAATGGAAATCGACAATTTTTGGAGGTTCCGCTATTGAAAGGGAAACCCATGTGTTAACACTACTTTTTGACAGCCTCTTAGCTGTTCATCCGGAAGCTTGGCACGTTGTCCATGCACACTGGCCTTGGGTCATTCTAGTCTGCATTGAAAAGGGGCCCGCAAAGGAGTTCGCGATGTTGACAACCACCTCACCAGAAATAGCATGCAACCGGAGAATTGGCGACATGAACGCAGCTGAAGCATGGCCCAAGAAGTCCAAAGCCATCCGGAGCCAACCTACTCCAGCACCAATGGCTATGCCGAACGCTGGGCAAGGTGCAACGAGTGTCCTTTTGGTTGTTTTGGTAGGAAAATAGGTGGCCCTGGTTTACCTGGTGGTTTAATCATCTGCCAGGGCCATCTATTTCCCCTAAAAGGACACCTATGGCAATGAGATTTTGAGTTGCAGGGTGCGAATGTTTTCTTTCATCCCGTTTCATGCCTCTGGGCATCTCTGGGCGAAACAGAAGCCCCATCGGTGGTTTGGATTGGTTGCTTCAAGGTTTTCTTTCCAAGCTCCTTGAAACCCAAAGAAGAGAGGCACCCCCCAAGCTTCTCCAGCCATCCCAACCGCGAATGGGTAAGAACTGCACGCCGAGGTGCACAGCAACTTCCTGGAAGGGGAGAGCTTGTCCATCCCCACCGCGGAAGTGGACCAGGCGTGGTTTGAGGCACCCAGATGTTGATAGATTAGACAGCGTGCGAGGCAGCTTGGCAACTATCCTGACTTATGTTAACCTCAGGGTTTTAGTGGTAACAACTTCAGGTTTGTGGTAAAAGCTGGTTGAATGAAAGTCCCATGGAATCACGGAAGCCAATCATTTCTGGAGACCCCCCCCCCGCCCCCCATCCTCCAGTCCAGGTCAATGCTGCTTATCTTGGTCTGTGTGTTTTGCCTGGGAGCTCTAGCCTGGCATCGGCCTTTATCTGTGAGCCCGGACCCCGCCTGGGCGCTTCGAAGCGTGGTAAGGACCCTGTGCCCACAGTGAAGGTGTTTTTTGCCTTGGGCTTCATTTGTCTAGGCTGAAACTGGCCTCGCCAGATTGAGGTTTGAGGCTCGGGCGTTCACTCACGTCTGCCATTGTCTTCCAGGTTTTTGCTTGTGAAGGCTCCCTGTGTTTCCCGCTGTAGTGGTCTTAGTTTTGAGGCAGGTACGGGGGGAACGTCCTGTCAAAGTCGGGTTGTTTTCGGCGACGTAGCGACACGTCAGAGGTGTGAGTTCCGCGCTTCTGCGTTGCAATTTCACAAGCGCCACAAAAGTCCAAGTACCTTCCAAGGAGGTACTTAGACCCCGATTTGTTTACCCCGCAAAAGCCATCCTCATGAGGTACCAAGGGACCCTCTTGGAGCTACGTCTGTATGTTAAAGGCGTCAGGTCTGTGGGAGAACGAAGGCGGCAAGAGGTCAAGCTCCTGGCCGGAAGACAAAGAGCCCGGCAGAAGGGGAACCGTAGTTCCTTAAATCAAAATTAAAGCGCCAGGGGACCGCAGGTGTTAGTCCTTGGTTCCATCTACTGGGGTTCTGAAATGGATTCCCATTTTTGACCCACGGCCAAATCGGGAAGCCAAAGGAAGCCATTTGCCAAATTGTCGACTATTTCAGGATATTTTGCATTTCGGGATGAAAGCTCGGAACAGCCCTGACTAAAACAGCGCAGTGACCGAGTTGGTTTCGGCCCCCTCGTTTCATTTTTGGACGGGGTTTCCTTTGCTGTGTGCCAATGCAAGAGGCGCGCATCCTTGTTCGTAATTTGAGGCCCCTAGGCAAGTAGGTCAAACGCAGAGGGCTTGTAACAATTTGAACACGGAAGCTGACATGGAAAAGTTGAGAAGGGACCCGTTTGTTCGCACGGGTCAAAAATGAACACTAAATGGAAACTGCGAATGAGGTGAGTTCCAAAAACGAGGGGTTACAAAGACAAATCGGGCATTTTTGGGCTGGTTTTCTCCGCCATTGGGGTTCGGTTTGGGGGACGGGCTCGCGCGAGGCATGCAAGGACCCGAACCTCTTCGATCCTGCGGGCGCTCTGATCCTGGAGTTTTCTCGTGAGACACGCTAGGGCTTGGCTGAGGGCTCCCGACCGGGGGGCCGGGGGGTGTTCAATGACCGAGAAATGGCCGCGATGTTTGGGTCATGGAAGTGGAGGCATAAGGAGAAATCTGGGGAGCTCTGGGGAGCGGCTTGACTGGTGCGAGTCGGGTGCGGGAGATCGGCGGAGCGACCCGCAGTTTCGCAGATCTGATCGATTGCCACTGGAGCCACGGAAGTGGACGCGGTGCAAAGCACCCGTTCCAGGCGCCGGAGGAAGACAACACGGAAAGGATGGGGGCAGTGTGGCACCTGTTGCGGGAGGGTGAGGCTCCCGATTTTCTAGTCTATAGTCTGACGCCCAGATAGCGTTGGTGGTTGGCTTTCTGGAGTCGAGGGGCTACCCTCACCAAACCAGTGTGCATTTTTTGAAAGAGTCCTGTCATGTCAACCTGTGCGCAAGCAAAAACACATCACGCACGTAAGATGGCGTAAGCAAAGTGGTACGACATGCTGTGGATGGACGCAATCCTGCACCACCGAATCGAAACCCTGGAATGATGCCCCCCCTGTAAATAGCAACGAACCATGGTTTCAAAGTGATGCGCAGTGGATTTTGTCCATCCATAGAAAGTCAAAACGCGTTTGGGACAATGAGTCTCCTGGGCAGCCTGCGCTTTGGTCCTTGCGCCTGGCAGAAGCTGGGATTTATTGGGATTTGGCGAACTTGCAGAAATTCCTGTAGGCTTCCATGAAGTTGAGGGGAAACTGCAATAGGAGCTGTTGCCCCTCCCTGGATGTGTCATCAACAGAGCACTGTCGGGAGCAAAAAGAGTTCTCACCATCTAGGTCCCTTCCTTGCGGATCGGGTTTTGGCCCCCGAAGCCAACCCTAAAAGGGTGCCCTCAGAAAAAGAAGAAGAAGAAGAAGAAGAAGAAGAAACACAGCACACGCCCAATGCTGTAGTATTCGCAGATGTTTCCGGTTGGGAAAGGCCCCGTGCATGGTGCGGGCCATTGGACCGCTTGCTTTCCCAAAGCTGCGCGCTGAGTCGTTTGGCTTAGTTCATTTCACATGCAGGGGCCGGGTTGGGCAAAGATGCAGCTCAAATGTTGACTAGCAGGGGGCCTAGCAGATTCTGGAGCATAAAAATGCTAAGCTGTTTGCATGAAAGGCAGCTCATTTTGTCCTCGTGAGCAGACACCGGCGATGGCAGTGACGTCGCCCATGCCAGAGGAGGCCAGATGGTCAAAGTAGTAGGTTGGCTTGGGCTTTCGCTTGCAGGTCGTTGCCAATGTTTCCCTTTGAGCGAAAGCTTATCAATACTCAAACAATATCAATATCCCACTCCAGAGGTGCCCCTTTTTTCCGGCTGATTTTTGAACAACCAAACAACAAGGCCCTTTTTTTCACATGGCCACTGGGTGTCTGCGCTGGTCAGGCTCCTTCCGAAAAGCTCTCAGGCACGCGTCCCCAAAAGCGGCTTCACAAAGGCCAGCGGGATCCATGGCAAGGGGTTATCCAACTGCACCCAGTCCCTTCAGAAGACCGTGTGGGCTGGCGAATCATGAAGCAGCAGCTCTGCAGCCTCTGGCTTTCACAGGAGGCATGCCAGAGCGAGCAGTGTGCTACTTGGCCCCATCACCTTTTCAGCGGCGCCTGCCACTGTGAAGGAACTGAGTGCTGGATGTGTCAAGAGGGGCGGTGCGTCACTTTCTCAGCCGAACTCCACTGGAACGATTGGTTCAAAACCAATGGCACCATTGTGGGGTAGGTGCATTCGCCACCCATTTTAGAACCTATTTTAGTGGGGATTGGGATGCTCACTGGGGGTACAGGGTTTTGACTCGACCCATGGCCATATCAGTGGGCACCGTATCATCGCTTGCGCCGGGACAAGGACGCCCGCAACTCTTCGGCGCTCTCCAACGCACGTGGTCCAAGGTCCCCCTGGGTGAACTGCAGCACGACTAGCGTTCTTCCAACACCTGGCGGAGGGGGGGAGGAAATCTTTGTCAGGTCTCTTTAAAGTGCCCCAACTGAATTCTTCATGGGGCAGTCACCTGTTCAGTGCCATTTTCCACCCACCAAAGATGGTCTTGACTCCAAAAAGAGTCGCCGTTTCTCAGCACCGGGGCTCTGGACATTCGCGGGAACCAGCGGCCAGGAGTTGAAGCCACCGGGGGGAGGCGCAAGTCCGTGGACTGCTGTCCCCTGAAGACCAAGGAGAACCCACCGATTTTTAGGGCTGCTGCCACACCTATTTGGGCGTGGCTCAAAATTAGAGAGGATGGGGTTACGCAGGTTGTGGTCCATATTTCTACTGGCCAGGGTTCCATGTTGATACCGGTTTTTTGAGCCACGCCGATTTGGGGCTGAGAAGGCATGGTGATATCCGCACCCTTGGGTTCCTTGCTCATTTGCAGGGGTGCCTGTCCATGGAAGAACTCCTCAATTACACTCGCTCTGGGAGGTGGGAGAGGGAGCTTGACACCCCTTGTATGTACACATGGCAGTGTATATACATATGTATATATATATATATATATCATTGCACTTCGGCATATGCATGCATAGATTTGGTAGCTGTATCTTGATGTAATGGGGTGCCTCAAAGGACATCAAATAAATTAACGAGCCTCTTGGCCGAGAGCTGGGCGATCTGGCGCTGTCCGCTACGATTGGCTAAATCGGCGGAGCAACGCTGGCTTGAACCCCTGTTTTAGTCTACTCCTTTGGCCCTGCGCGCAGGGGTGAGCCTGGTTGTTGTTGGGAAACATTTTGCATGTTTGCTTATTGTGGTTTAGTGGTTGGAATCCAACCACTTGACTGCTACATGTTTTTTTGGCTTGGTTTATATGGTTATAGTGGTTGAAATCCAAATCCACTGAGCTGCCAAAATCTCTGGTTTTTGTTTCTCCCCTTCCAACGTCAACCAAGTGAAAGTCATAGCTACCAGCTACTTGTCTGAAGTGGTATGCAGGACCTACCGGACTGCTTCAAGCACCTGGATCAAAAATGGCACTGGGTCAAAATCCCAAGCCCGTTTCCCCAGTGAACATCCCAATCAAACCACTAAAAGAGGTTCTAAAATGAGTGGTGAATTCACCTACCCCAAAATGGGATACCCTTGGTTTTGACCCACAGCCACATGTGTTTGAGCAGCATTGACCTGAACATGTTTCAGCAACTGCAGTTCAATCATGTGCTGAAGCAGCGCTGGATTGTTTCTTGCTTAAACAAGAGTCGCTTGCACATGCTTAGGAAAGAGTGGGTTGCGCATGCTTAGGCAACAGGGAGATGAACTTGCTTAGGCAATCTTAAGCAACAGCGGTGTCAGCATGCTTAAGCGCCTGTGTTTTGAGCGTGCTAAAACTCAGCTCGCGTTTAGCAAGCTTGGGCAACAGTGGCCTGCACAAGCGTAAGCAACATGGGGGGAAAGACAGTTTGAGTCGTGCTTAGGCATTGGTGGTTTGAATATGCCCAAGCAACATGTGAGCAATGTGCTTAGCGCGCCCGAGCAACCGTTGGGACACGCTTAAGCAGAGTCAATATGCTGAGAGCCATTTGAGTCCGGTTTGAGCATGCTTCGGCAACTTTCCGACATGCTTGAGCAACAGTGCAAGCATGCTCAAAACAGGCCCCTTAAGCACCTGCAGACTTCAGAGCACGCTATGCTCAAACCGCTCCCTGAAACAGGCCCTTCAGCATTTTACCCATGCTCAAGCCTCCCTTTAACCTCGACCAAAAAAGGATGCCCTTTCTTCCCATGGAAATCCACTGGGCATCTGAGTGTGCCCTGGCCACGCATACAGGGCATTGGATCACCGATGCGCAAACGGCTTCTCTTTGAGAGGTTGGCCCTCGCCCGGGGTGCCGGGCTCGGAGAGCGAGCGGCTGACGGACTGAGGTTGGCCCCAGATGGTTTTGTTCAACCAGTTTATTCATAGGGGAGATCAGACCACCTAGGTCCCCCACTGGTGCCCTTTTTACCCTTTTTTTGGGGATCCCCTGCTAAAATAGACTACAGAAAAAAGGGCACCCTTGTCCTAACCTCTCTACTGGAGGATCTAGCCACATGTCAACCTGGGTTTAGTGTCAATTGATTTCATATGGGGTCAACGTTGCAACTTAACATGGAACACTTTTGGGGAGGGCGCCGGGTGTAAGTTGCAAGGGCGCAAAGATCTTAAGTTTCCTGGATTTCAGTCGTTTCCCAGATTTTGCCAGTTTCAGCATGGGAAGCTATGGTTCTCCCAAAAGACAACCAAACTGCGGTACTATTCTCTCACGCCCTCTATGTCTTGCCGGTGCTCAGTAGGGAATGAGTCAGGATTTTGGGAATGAACCTAGGGATTTCCTTAGTTAAAGGAAAGCATGGATTGTAGTTATCGTACCATTTCTCATTTCCAGCCTATCGAACCAGCAAGATGTTCAATTATTTTTTTGGAGTCTGGACTATAGCGGTTTCCTCGGGTAGGCTATATATTCAACAGAATCTGAATATAATTCTAGCAGCGGTTTGGCTGCGCTTCTTTTTGTGGATTTCACCTGTTCTTCCTCCTGTGGGTTCTTTTAAAGTACTCTTTTAGTACTCTTTTAATGTCCTACAGGGTCGGATCTACAAAAGCCACATCGAAGCCGTTTTTTAGGATTATGCATATATAATGCATTATTTCCTGTGTACCCCAGATGTGGGCCAAGATCGTGGCAATCGAATAGTCATTTTTTGTGGGGGATCCACCCAGTCCGCTTAAATGAACGTTTCCTCATCCAAGGGGCAAACAAGCGTGTAGGCTGTAACCAACAGACAGGTTCATTCTATGCTCGCCTGACTGTGGCAAAGAAACTTGCGTTGGTTCTATGAAAGCCTGGCTTCGGATTGAAGGGCGCACCCCTCCTTTGGGTTTGTTTAGTGCTTTCAGGGAACCCGAGGAACAGCCAAGGAAAACCCCAAAAAACCTTGAGGACCCAAGTAAAACGGCAGTACTTGACTTTTGAAGCCAAAGGACCCGCCAGCCCAATTTCCGGAGCTTCGTCAGCATAGGTGTCCTTTTGGTGGGAAAGTAGATGGCCTGGCTTACCTGGTGGTTCAATCATCCACCAGGGCCATCTATTTGACGCCTATGTTCGTAAGCGCCAACGAGCGATTTGCGCGCGCGCGCGCGCAACTCGCTTGGCCCAGCTGAAGCCGGCGCCATGCCGGTGCCGGTGCTGCGGGCTCCGCGGGCTCGGGATGGGAGGCGTTGGGCTCGCCGTAAACCGTGGGGCTTTGAGTCGGCAACCACAACTAGGTCCCCCAGCTAGGTGCCCTGTTAGGTTGTATACTACTAAAATAGGCAACAGAAAGAAGTTGGTACCCTTATTCTATCTTCTCTACTGGAGGACCTAGTTGAGTCGGCACCCACAAGCTACACCTCCGGACAAAAGGCATTGCCCTTGTCCGTTTTTGTTTTTTTTGGGGGGGGGAGAGATTTGTATAAAGCAAGTTCCAAACGTGTTAAACGGGTGCTTGTTTCCCCAGGTCGCCGCAGAATCGTTCAGAGCAGTTTGAAGGGGCTCCGCGCCCTTTGTTCAGTTGGGTTTGCACCCCTCTCGGCAATCAGCTGGGCACCTTACCCTCAATGGGTGGTTTTGGCCTGGTAGTTTGAACATGTTCCAAATGGGTGCTATCCCGTGAAGAAGCGTCTTTCTGAAAGGGACACGTTCTCGGTTCAGGACCAGGTGAGCACACAAACAAATTCAGAGCAAAGGGTACAGACAGACTGGTAGACCCTCAGATCATCGCGTGAAGGGTTCTGAGACCAGGAGGCGGCCCTTCTTGCCCCAAAGCACTCGGGCGAAAGCGGTGGCTGCCCTATGTGCCCTTGGCCTCGGCTGGTGCTTCGCATCTTGGCCCTAGTCACTGCCTGGCCGCGCAACGTGCTAAATAACCTGGGCACCTGGCACAGAATTATTGCTGGATACCTCCCGAGGAGAGTGTTTGGACCTTCCAGAGCACTAGCGAACGGAAGGGTCACTGATGAATTTGTTTGGCTGCCTGCGGCAAAAACCAACAGGGGGTTGATGATGTGTGGATGTGTTTGCCCACTTTTAAGGCCAGCCAGTCGAGTGGTTTGCTTTTTGTTAGATGTAGGTCCTTTACCTGGTGATCCATTGCCGCAGGTTTTGGAATCGATGTTAAATGTGGAGAGACTCATGTGTTTGGTTGGTTAAAAGGGGAAACAACAGGAAGACCGCCATTTTGGCGGTGCCCGGATTTTGACACAGTCCGATGCCGTTTTTGTCGATCAGAGTGTCGTGTTTGTTCTTTTCCGCTCGACAAAGCCAACATAATACCCTTCCAATCATAGCATCACTTCCTGAGTTGATGGACCTTATACTTTTTGTGAAGACCATTTTGGTGGTAAAGCAAAAGTTCAGGCTCACATGTGTCCTTTTTGGTTGTTTTGGTAGAAAAAATGGGATGGCCCTGGTTTACCTGGTGGTTTAATCATCTATCTGGGCCATCTATTTCCCAAGGACGCCTATGTTCAGGCTTTTCTTTGCCCATCCACTGAGTAGCATCAGCTTGTTCCCTCCGAATGCATTTGGCCGAGGCAATGGGCGGCAAGCCCACCTCCCGAAGGGCAGTGGCAGAGGATGTCCGCATAGGCCCGAAGGGTGACCAATGGCTTACATTCCTTTGGTGCAGTTTGCTTGACTTTAACCTGTTGCCAACTAGTGGGTATTCCATTAAACCGCTAAAAGTTGAACTTTTAGCAGGGGAGCAGAAAGCAACCAAGATTCGGATTGCCCAATATTGGAGCCCCAGTCGGCTTATGGGCAGCCAAAGGAAACCCACCATTTCCGTTTCCCAGTTGCCCAGTGGCGCCCATTTCTTCCTTTTTTTGGGAGGGGTTCCCCTCGAAACTCAACCAACCCAAGAAGGGCGCCCTTTTTTTTGGCAGGGAAACCACTGGGCATCTGGTTGGTATTGTTCTGAAAAGTGGAGCCATTGTTGTTCGGTCGGCAGGGCAGCCAAGAGGAACCCCACCATTTCTGGTTTTGAGAAAGCCCCATGTGGAGACTGAGGGATATCGCCCGCCAGGCACGGGTGCAGCTCGGCCGGCGGAAGCTGTTGGCTTCGAGCCGAGGGAGGTGGGCAGCTCGGAGCAGCTGATGCTGAGCAGGATGACCGAGGGGCGCCCTGGCAGGGGAAAACATGTCATGCTTGGGGAGGCTTGGGGGGGGGAGGGGGGGGGTTTGCCTGCATAGGCCAATTTCATCAGCCAAGTTGATAAGCCCTTGAGGCCTTGTTAAGGGGTGAAGGAGGGGGTTGGGCCTGCCGCCCCAGGGGCCCATGAAAATGGAAGCCACGGGGCCCTTCCAAGACCCAGTTGGCTTTCATGGGAAGGACAACTTAGGGCAGGTTGCATTCAATGTTCATAGGCTGCGGTCCATAGCAACCATGCGTTGCTTTGATTTGCCAGAGAGGCAGGGCTTTGCAGACACTATAATTGACAACTGGATGAACAAATAGGGGAACACCCTCGAAGCTTGACAGGGAATGTTTGTTTGCCAGTGTTTCTGGGCATTTGCTGTTTGCAAAAGAGCCGCGTCCTGAACAAACCGAAAGTCGAAGCAGGGTTTTGGTTTTGACTCGAAAGGGGGGAAGGCCCCCTAAGCAGGGGAGCATGATTGTCACTGTTTTGGTGACGGGTTGGTCATGGTCGGGTTTTGGGGTTTTGTTGATGCATGAGGCCGCTCAAACCGAAAAAAGCCCGTTTCACCAACTACACAAATAGTCCGCAGCTTCATTTAAGAGGCTACTCATGGCCGATTCAGCAACTACGACTAAGGAACGAAACAATCCGATTGAGGAACTAAAGTAGCCCGGTTCAGCAACTAAAACGGCCCGACCGCAGTCTGCCAAGCCACTGAGATACTGTTTGTGACAACATATTGTATACATGTCATTTTTCCATGAATCCAACACCTGAAACAAGGGATCCCGAGGCAATGGAGTTTTATCATGCTAGGCTCAATTTACCCCCAGTGAGCTCGCCTTAGGTTGTCCAGTTCTATCTATATCCTGAAGTATTGATGTTTGTCCCTCTTAAGAAAGCTGACTATCGTCTGGCGTGGCACTGGAGCCACCGCAGCCCCAACCGCAAAAGAGATCGCAACAGTGAGCGCACACATGCTTTCTCAGTAAGCTGAAATGAGAGTTATACACAGCCTACACGTAAGAATATGCGGTACGATCTTGCCCAACCAAGGAAGCCGACAGGAGGGCTTCGGAACACGGAGGAACATAATATCGCAAAATCCAAGGCCCTCTTCAACTCACTTGGCAAATCTGCGTAGGCCACATGGGCCATTCACTGCCCCTGCGGAAACCACTGGACATGTTTTGATTTTCTGAACCCCCTAGTCAGCAGCCAGTTGTGTGCGCTGCTGAAACTGGGTGCCAAATCGGACCTTGCTACCTGCGCCAAACAACTGGGTGCCAAACAGCCCGTCACAAAGGGTTCCGACAGCAAAAGGCCCCTGTTTAACACCGGGGTCCCTATATGTCCCCTTCTTTTGGTTTTTAAGCATCACCTCTTTTGGCCAACTTTTCAGGTGAGCTTCCCTTCTTGGGGGCGATGTGTTGAGGGGAAATATAGGGTGTTAACACTCAAAACATGTTAATCTGAAGGCGGCTTTCGTGTGAAGGTCGATGTTTTGTTTCTCCTTGCACGCCTAAGGCACATGATCACCACCCACGTGTCGATGGCGTTTTTGGAAGGATCCTTGGCTGCAGGTCTTCGAGACGTGCGTGCCTTGTAGCTCCGATCTCCAACTTGAGCTTTGTTCTGATCCAATCTCGCGGGATGGGCGCTGGACAT